GATACGACTTGTTTAAAATAAAAAATATAAAATAGTTTCCGGAAATTTATATAAAATATTAAATAAGAAAAATAAGTCAGAAGTGTAGTTATTTAAAATAATGAATATTACTCGTATAAACAATTCTTTTAATTTTTTATTTAAATTGTATACTTTAATTTTCGTCGCTTTTGCAAGTATATAAAAATTTTTTAATGATTCTTAAATATATCTTGACATCTTAAGAAAGTATTTGTAAAGTTGTATATTTATAACAAATTATATATAAATTGTCATAACTAAATATAGTTAATAAAATGGGACGTATGTACTTTTTCATACAAAAATGTAAAACTCTGAAACAAAAATATCAACTTTAAGATATTGAAATATATTTTTCCTTTAAATTTTTTTGTTTCGGAGTTTTGCATTTTTGTATGAAAAAGTACATACGTCCCATTTTGTTAACTATATTTAGTTATAATAATTTATATATAATTTGTTATAAAAATGTACAACTTTACAAATACTTTCTAAAAATGTCAAGATATACGCAAAACCATTAAAAAATTTTTATATACTTGTAAAAGCGACGAAAATTAAAGTATACAATTTAAATAAAAAATTAAAACAGTTATTTATACGAGTAGTATTCATTATTTTAAATAACTACACTTCTGATTTATTTTTCTTATTTAATATTTTATATAAATTGCCGGAAACTATTTTATATTTTTTATTTTAAACAAGTCGTATCTGTTTTTTACGAATTTCTACGATTTTGTATTTTAATTACGTTTCTGAAACTTATTTTATGTTTTTTATTTTAAATAATTCGTATGTTATTTTATCGAGCCGTGATCGGCATCATACGTAAGTTTAAAGAATTTCTGAAACACAGATAATTTGCAGTAATAGTATAGGGTCTTAAATTAATTTATTAACTAAAAAATTAAATAATGATTAACAAGATATTTAGTACTTTTGGCAAAGCGTATTTACCGCAAATTGTTTCACGACATTAAGAAAATTTGCATGTATCTTTATATAAAGAACATATATAGAATATTTTATCAATCTTTATTTAAGTATGAATCATTAAAAAGTATAATGAAAATTGAGACATAATGTTG